GCCACAGTCTCCCAAAGTGCTGGGATTACAGAAGTGAGCCACCGTGCCTGGCCCAAATTTTTAATTATGGTAACTTTTTCAAGAAATTCTGGTTAGCCAGAGGATACCAGAGGCTAAAAAGGGTAGGGGGAAGGGGAGATAGGGAGAGCCTTGCTGAAGGATACAAAATTACAGCTAGACAGGAGGAATAGGTTCTAGTGTTCTACACGCTGCAGGGTGGCCAGAGCTCACATTAATATTAATATGTAGCTTCGGATAGCTAGGGGAGGATTTTGAATGTTCCCAACACAAAGAAACGGTAAATTGAAAAAATTTTTAAAGTTATGTGTAGAGATGGGATCTCACTATGTTGCCAGGCTGGTCTCCAACTCCTGGGCTCAAGTGAGCCTCCCGCCTTGGCCTCCCAAGATGTTGGGATTAGAGGCATGAGCCACCACACCTAGTCTCTCAGTGTGTTTAACCTCCTCACTCACTCTGCCAAAACCCACTTCTCTCCCAAAGACAGACCCTCATCTGAAGCCCAGGTCCCCGCTCAGCTCCCTTCATGAACCTTCCGAGGGCTCCTTAGTGGACCCCGGAACACACGTCCTCGGTGGTCCTGGACAGATTGTCTGCACTCTGGTCAGTGGATTCCCATGTCGTTATTTTCCAGACTCATTTATGTGGCGGGCCGGGAGGGCCACATGCTCAAAGTGCTTTCTTACATCAGCGTCAAGCGCCTCACTCCAGCCCCCGCCATCATCTTCCACGTGAGTACGAATCCCGCTAACAGCCTATCTTCAAGGCGGGGACACTCCATCCACGGGGTGCTAAGCCCAGTGGCTTCCAGATGACCCAGATGCCCTTATTCCTTGCCATGAAATAGATGTAGAAAGAATCCCAAGATACGTCAAACAATGTACCAATGTCTGCTCCTTTGTCTGAATTTATCCGCGAAAGACAGTGTGTGCCCTCAATGCTTCTGTGTGCATTCGTCTGTGCTGGGTTGCTGGTAACAAACTATATAAAAGCCTACTAGCTTACAGGGAAGGAGGGTAAGACATTTTCCCAGGTGGTTATTGACAGCAGCCTCTCATTATGCTCTAATGATTGAGAAGTCACTGGATCCTTATGCAGTAAATGCCCTTTGACTGTTTTTGTTGTTGTTGTTGTTGTTTTTGTTTTTTTGAGACAGAGTCTTGCTCTGTCACTCAGGCTGGAGTGCAGTGGCACGATCTTGGCTCACTACATCCTCCGTCTCTCAGGTGCAAACGATTCTCCTGCCTCAGCCTCCCAAGTAGCTGGGATTAAAGGGGCCTGCCATCACGCCCGGCTTGTTTTTGTATTTTTAGCAGAGATGGGGTTTCACCATGCTGGCCAGGCTGGTCTTGAACTCCTGGCCTCAAGTGATCGGCCCACCTCAGCCTCCCAAACTGCTGGGATTATAGGCATGAGCCACCATGCCTGACCACCCCTTTGACATCTTCTGATGGGAGCTTCTCTGTGGTGCATGGTCCTTGTTTTGTGCAACTGTTCTGGGCACTGATAAACCATCCACATTTCTACCCCAGGGCTGGTCTACACCCGTTCCCCCAGAGGAGAGGCACTTCTCTATCATTCTGAAAACACACCCAGGAAATACCAGTCCAGGGCCCCGCAACTAACACAGGCCAAGACTAGACCTGAGCTTCTAATCCAGGGCCCCGGCCCGCATTAGAAAACTCTCTTTGAGGAAAACTTGTAATTATGAAGCTGGTGTAACATTCATACATATTAGGTTGGTGCAAAAGTAATTGCAGTTTTTGCCATTAAAAACTGCAATTACTGGCCAGGCATGGTGGCTCACGCCTATAATCCCAGTACTTTGGGAGGCCGAGGCAGGTGGATCACCTGAGGTCAGGAGTTCGAGAACAGCCTGGTCAACATGGCGAAATCCCATCTCACTAAAACTACAAAAATTGGCCGGGCGTGGTGGTGCCTGCCTATAATCCCAGCTACTCAGGAGGCTGAGGCAGGAGAATCTCTTGAACCCGGGAGGTGGAAGGTGCAGTGAGCTGAGATTGCGCCACTGGACTCAAGCCTGGGTGACAGAGTGAGACTCCGTCTCAAAAGACAAAACGAAACAAAAAAACCGTAATTACTTTTGCACCAACCTAATGCTTTATTTCTCCCTTGCTTAAAATCGCAACTTCAAAGATTCAGAAATTTCCCAGGTCTTTTCTGCAGGCTTCGTGGAGAAGAGCTATCACAGCCAAAGTCAGGTTTAACCCGAACTATCACGGAATGCCTGGGAAGTTCCTTTCATGCTAAAGTGTTTTTTCCACAAGAAAAACTGTTTCTTCGGTCTTCTGTGACGGGAGAACAGTGTTTTGTTGTAGTAATGACGTACGAATCCATTCTTCTTTCTATTAGGGTATCATAGCAACGATTTATATCATCCCTGGTGACATAAACTCGTTAGTTAATTATTTCAGCTTTGCCGCATGGCTCTTTTATGGCCTGACGATTCTAGGACTCATCGTGATGAGATTTACAAGGAAAGAGCTGGAAAGGCCTATCAAGGTAAGCTTGCAGCCCCAGAGTCACAAGTGGCTTTGGATTGTTTAATGAATTAGATAGAGGTAACTCTTTCAAATGCTAGGGGCATGGCTTCTAGTTCTAATCTGACTTGACTCTTTTAAAATATCATATTTTAGAG